AACAATAAACGTTTAAAGAATCGAGAATGTATTATCCTCCTTCAAAACCGTTTTGATAACGACTTTTATAAGGATTTGATTGGGTATATCAATTTGATATCAATAGAGATAATAGTACCACTTTATAATCAATCAATTAATACCTTAATCGATACAATGTATACTAAATCCGATATCGCAGATCAATTTATCTCTACTCTTAACAATCCATCGATAATTAAATAACCAAAAAAGCATCATAAAACCCTTTGAATCATTATACAAAATTGTTCGATCCAAAATAATAGAATTTATTATTGGAATAAGATTTGGATTCCATTAGATAATGAATTCAAACTCTAAATTATCTATCGAATTTATTCTTCTAATCCTATTGATTATTCTGATTGAACTAAAACGATCGATTTTGTCTTTTGTATATATTGATAGTCTAATATACATTTGGAGATTATATTCTACATAAAAACCTACGAACTTTGTATTCGTACCAAATCGTCCAAATCAATGCCTCCCGGATTTTTGAAACTGTTGCCTGTCCCTTTTCGTACATGATCTGATATCTCAATTGATTATATTATATTGTTCCCGGATTGTATTTATTATAATTCTACCTATAAATATATCTTGATGATAGTTTACAGGTTAACCAAAATGAGACATTTCATCGGTATATATATATTAACGATAAAGAAGCTAATCGATACTTTTATCAGTTGTATTTATATACTTTATAGACTTCCGGATAATATTATTTCCGATCGGGGAACGCAGTTTGTATTAGGTTTCTGATTACAATTTTCGGAGCGATTGGGAATTACCTTAAAACATTTTTCAGCTTTTTATTCTTAAACAGATAATCAAACTAAATATATTAATTCGATTTTGAAGTAGTATTTACAAACTTTTGTTAACTATTATCAAGACAATTGAATAGATTGATTACCCTTAACCAAATTTGTATTTAATAATTTGGTTTTTGAAACAATTAGTTATTCGTTTTTCTTCGTCAATTACAGCTTTAATCTATATCTAGGTATTGAGTTTAATAAACCTTGCTCACCGGATATGACTCTAATATAAAAACAGGAATTCTTTAAAGATAATAGAATCGCAAATCACATAGAATATATCTTAAAACAACTTCATACTTTTGTATAACAAATAATTGCTATTTATAAAAACTATACTAACCACCACCACTCTGATTTATCTTGTTATATAGTTGATCAGAAAGTTTTTATCAATACCAAGAATATAAAGATTTTATACAAAACAAAAAAACTAGATGATAAATGAATCGACCTTTACAAAATTATCAAAGTTTATCCTTGTACTTGTTTTATTCAATTATTTAAAAATATTAAAATCTTCCCTGTTTTCCATTATTCTTTTTTACTTCCAGTTTATATTAATCCTTACTTTCCGGTTCAAACAATGATTAACGAATTAGAATCCCTAACTATACAAAACAGAATTTTGGAACAAAACAATAATAAAGATGAATCTATTCAGAAATGAATATTTGAAAGAGTTCTAGATAATTATAATAAGGATAGCTATCATTATTTGATTAAATAAAGATATTATATATCAATTTAGCAATTAGCTAATAATTTAAAAGATAACGAGAAAGTTCTTATTGAATATCATCGCCTTCATTCAGAAAAGCCAGATCCATCAGTTTGAATCCTAAAGCATTTCGATACTACTATATTGCAATTGGAATCACAGAATTTGCAATCGGAATCACACAGTACGATTGCTACACCCACTCTACGAAAATCCATTCATACCAAGATTATTCGCTTCGTCTAAAGGTATATTATATATTATAATAATAAAGAATATAATATCATTAAAGAATATCATATGTTTTTTTATTCAGGGATTTAATTGAGGAAAAAGATCTGTATTTTTTCTTTATTTTTCTTTATTTTTTAATACCCATTTGAGATCAAATGGATTTTTTGAAGAAAAGGTATTGTTACGGATTCATCTTCCTTTACCTGTATATAATTATATATACTTTAGACATACATGTATACATTCACTTCTATATAATCAGATTACCTCCTCGACCTTCTTCTCCTCCTTGTAGTACAATAATAGATCAAACCTACACATACCATTTCCCTTACCGTGATATAAATTATTAAATCACTTAATAATATTTACCGAACCAATAGTTATATGATCACGTGATATATTAATAATATGATTTCATATTATTAAATTTTATTATTATATAAAATTTCGATCATATATCATATCAGAATGATTTATAATGGAATAGAATGAAATGGAAGCATATAGAATTTTCTTATTCTCAGATTGAATACTATTGGTTATTATTTCCTTTTATTATATAAAATGATTCTATAAGATTCGATTTAAATCGATCTTATTTATAATCATAGAATAGTGTAGAATCTCATTAAAATCTATAAATACGAAGATCTTCTTCAAAGAATTCTTCGAAAAAATAAGCAGATAAAAATTCAATATTCAATATATATATAATTCTGACTTCAATATTCTATTGTTCATATATTCGATCACTCCTAAGCTAAATACGACTAAGTCTTCCACTATTATAATAAATAATATTATAGTATTATTATTATAATATTATTTATTATTATCCGATCAACCTCCTCCGAGATGCAATAATAATGCATAGCGATAATCATACATCTAGCTGTATATATGTGCCTTTATGCATTCTGCCGATGATTGAAACTTACTAAAACGTATCTAATGTGATTTATATCCTCTTGCTAGCTAGATTGGTCAGCCTGAGAGCTCATCTAAACTCTCTGGCTTCCGCAGAATTTAGCTCTTTATTTATCACAAAATCGACTTGTCTTCGCCAGAATACGTTCAATAAAACATTAAAGTCTTGAAATGGTCGATGGCCTTGTAATAATTGGCCTCATTAAATTCACCATAGCCTCTTTTCTAATTTTTCTACTGGCAATCACGTTGTTTCCAGATCTAAATTCGAAGTAGACATTGTGCTGGGCCTTTCTAAGCTTACTGAATCTGACATTCCAATATTCAAGTTTCTAAAGAACATTAAGTAGCAGTACTTTGGCGCCCTAAAGCGTCCCAGAGTGCTATGTGTGTGGCCAATCTGCGTGCGAATCAAATATCAATACGGTTGAAGAATGTGACTTTTATACCAGATGGCTGTATTCATGGGCTGTGGTAGAACTGCTACTGTAACAGGAGTAGATACTTAAGCACATCTCTTCCCTCCAGAATCCAGAATTTCACATTCCAAAACACCTTACTGTGAAGAACACGTAAATACCGATAGCTCTTCAACCGGATTTAAACATCTCCGATACTCAGTACACTACTGAAACCTTAATTTACCCTTACAATTCTTAACGCTTATCTTTTCTCCACAAAGCAAGTATGGCAGGCCAAAACAACCGTGGCAGTGGCCAAGCCATCCAAGCCATTCAAGGAGCTCAACCCTTCATCCGGAAAAAACTAGCTATCAGCCAGAAGAAATCTTCACCTCGACAAAAGAAGCAGCTCGCCGGGCAAAGAGATACCCAAAAATTGATTGCTGCGAAGGCAGAAATGAAGAAACGAGCCTTAGAGTTTGACTTCTCTACCCTTCGTCAACACCCCGTCTTGACCATCGAGAAGACTGATGACAATGTTCAGATGATCATCGATCTGGATTTTTTCCAATCAGAGTCAGCCCCGGGTATTGGAGCTCTCTTAGAAGTCCTTGATGATTACGCCGCAATCATTTCCAACGTCACTATTCTCATCAAGGCACCCAAATACCACTTCGACGTCGCTACGTACAATGGTAGGGCTTACAACGTCGCCAGGGTAATCAACAAGTTGAACACCTTCAACTTGACACAAGTAGAAGTTATCGCACGTCTCAACAGCCACAATACTTTCGAGCAACTCAAGCTTGCTGCCGGCGCATATGATCTAAAGCTTTGCAATTGGACTTTGGCATACGAGCTTTGTGGCCGCAAGGGCAAATGGGAGGTTGAAATTGGCAGCGTGTATGAGCGTAAACTTCGTGGTGTCTATAGGAAGGATTTCTTGAAACAACACTAAATCTGTCGGTGGTAGTTGAGATCCCGGGTGCTAGGATTTCGCAACATTCATGTCTATGGTATGAATTGCGACGAGTGGCAGTCATGGCAGAGATAGACAGGCGTCTCGGAGAGAGTGGAACTTCATATATTACTCTTGAATATCAATATGTTGAATTGAAGCGCCAGTACACCCTGTTTGAGGAGAATGGTAGCTGGGTGAAAAGTTGTTGTACAGAGGACTGGTTTAGCTTTTCTGCAACAGAACATTAAAATAATGAACAAAGAACCCGTTGCATAAATCAATATACCAATAAATGAATGTGCCAGAGAGTTTGATGATTTTATACATGTATACTGTGATGACAGTGATATTGCTTTAGGATGCACGGAGAACTGGAGCATCGGAAAACATTCCAACGTGTTTTTCGGGGAAGCAAGCTCAGCACGCTTCTAAAACTCTTCAGGTAGCTGTCAAGGCGGCTAGACACAATTTTCGCGCCAACTTTGTTGGTTTGAAAGGACCCAGATGACTTGAACGAGGTAACAGTATGTGAAATTTTATAAGAGGATATTGAAGGTATGTGGTCTTTGTTGTTGTTATAGAGTTGGGGTACAGAAAATTCCAAGCTCAAGCTCACAACCGGAAGTATGGACGACATACCTACCGCAGTACTGTCTGCACATGTTGCATTCACTTGACCAACACAGCCTACATATCTCACGAACTTCTGAGTAACCAATTACGTAGATATAGTTCCACAACAGTAGCTACATCCCAGATAAATCATCCAAATCTGTGGGTGAATAATTTCCTTTTCGTTTGAATCTCTCATCTTCCACCCAGCTCACCTCTTCGCCAATCTACCTCCTTTATCATCTGAAATTACAACTTTAGTGAATCAAACTAAACAAACATCTAATTCAAAAATCTCGTTGGGCTAGTGGTCATGCCATCTGTCTCACATAATTCCATGAATTTTCGGAGGACACAGAAGATCGCAGGTTCAAACCCTGCACGAGGTATTGTCGTAATCTTTTGATTTTTGTTTTAGTTTTGCAGGGTTGAGCCTAACCTAGCGAGATTATATTTAAAGGAAGTGATGCAGATTTTCGAAAATTTGTCATTTTGAGGTGTTTATAAGGGAAGAAGCGGATCGAAGGAGGAATCTCGCTTATGGGGAAGGTGTACAACTTGCTGGAAGGAAAAATTTATGAGAGGAAAGCAGAAACAAATCATTTCGAACACAGAGTGCTATGTTGGCAGCAAGTCTATCTACTGTCTCATTTGTATGATGCTTATTCTACAGCAACACTTGTTTTGCTCCATCCAGCGGCTTCATTGTTGCTGCCAAATTAACGTCATTTTATTGTCGTGACCCGAAAACATCCTGTAGGTTGTCACCACTTTCAAATATTGGTCTATCTGGCCCTTTTGTAACCATATCTTAAGACCCGGGCTCTTCTCTGCTGTCTAGTCATTAAACTTCCGCCAATTGTGTACAAAAAGCACTTGACTAGCTTTTCTCCTTAATCGTTTCCTTGACTTTGTATACTGTGATGTGACAAAGTTCAATGTCAAACAATCACTTTTTTATGCATTAACTTGTTGATGCGCTTACTACGCATTAGGATGGATTCTAAACATCCTATTGTTTCCAAATTCATGCTCGCCTGTATGGAAATCAGGAATGCAGCACTTGGAGTTTTAAGTGAATCTGCAAAAAGTCTTTTTTCATCTATCGGAGGCTGGGCTCGAGGTCAATTTCTGGGGGCTAATTCAATCCTATGTAGGAACTCAAATATACCTTTAGTTAGCAGAGACTGTGCGATATAAGGTAAGGTCATATAACGCAGGAAGCCACCAGTAGAAATAATCCTGCTCCATAAACGGCAGGTCATCTGTGCAGAATCGTGCTGGAAACTATTATGCATCGGAAGAAAACCATCTCCCGTCTCAACTTTTGTTTATGTTCCGAAACGGCTCTGCATCTATCAGCTCTCAGTGACTGATCTTGCTGTGATGCAGCATCGTTACTATCATGCTTTTGTTGTTGTAACTGGTATCATGTTTCGCAAAATTCTCTGGATATTAAACGGGAGTGGCTATTTTTAGTTTCGTATTCATCCGCTATTAAATATTGTTGTAAAGTGAATACACTCATCAACATATTAAAGACTTTCAGTTCGACTAAGGAGTGTTTTCTCTGGAAATGAATATCTGAACACTGGAGTTGCACGTGCTCCTATATCCCCATCCTTTATACCCTCATCTACGCAAAGCTAGCATGATATGTGTAAAAGCCTAAAGCTAGTATGAAGCACATAACAACAGGCCATGTCCTGTTGCTAATCAATATCGGTGAAGAGTTGGCGTATTGCAAGCAGTCACGGTAAAGCTGCCTCTTTCCAGTTTTGTCTCCATGGCCAACTACCAGGATCTTTCCACTTTTACGCACGTAAGTGAGTATAGTTGTCATTTATACACCTTCGTCATCACAAAACTTTTTATATTGTTTTTTCTTTAACATAGAGAGGTTCCCAGTTTGTTTTGTCTTCGACTAAGCACTTCTGGCACATAAATGGATACAAGTTTCACAATGAGGCAAGTAAGCCTCTCCATTTGTTCATTGAGACATCATTGTGCAGGCTTTTCCTTTCAAACAGTTCTATTTTGGGATCTTACCATAAATAGTAATTGTAGGACGTACTTCCAAATACAGTTTTGAAGATTGTAGCGATTTCACTCCTAGCTCAATCCTTCTCCATTCGCTTTCCTCTCCACCAACTTCACTATTGATGTGGTACGCTACTATTTAAGGAAAATTTGCCGTTTCTTTGGAGTCCCACAAAAGAGGTCACAAACTTCAATAACTGACTCATGTCACTGTTCGAATAGGGCTGCCAGCAAGACATAGTTTTCAGACACAGACTTCTACTCAACTACAAGGGCTTGCAAAGTTCATACGGAGACTTTTGAGTGTCATTCTATAACACCTTCAAATCATCATTGCAAAGTTGCCAATGATTGATCAAGTCTCAACTTATTGTCAGAGCTTTTCTTGCATTGTCGATTTATGTATCGATGCGAATCACCTGCTCCGTACTCTCTGATATCCCTGAAACTTACCAACTTTATAGCAAGAGCTCAGTTTATTATTAGGCTCAAAATTGCACTTTCTTCTCCTTCGAGCTTGAAAGGCTTGTCTTATGCTAAGGTATGTACGTAATTGCTTTGAGTTCCCAATAATCCAGCTCTTGGAAAGCTTTATATATCCGAAAGCTGCTGATAAAGGTCATTTTACCACTTAGCTCAAAAGCCGTTAAATTTTTCCATGCAAACCACGCATGAAAACCGCAAATCGTTTTTGTTTTCAAGCATGTCTGGTGTCCCAACCTGTAAGAAAATCTGATTATTAACCTAGTAGTAGACCGTACTCATTGACCCTTCTCTAGGGGTCTTCCAAATCCACCAAAAAGCAGTAACGAAATACTTAAATGCAAACTTCACCATCTGCTTATCGCCAGAATGAATACTTCGCCAGAAGAAATACTTCGCCAGAATGAATACTTTCCCAGATATACCACAGTTCCATGAAGAAATACCCTGGGACAGCACTCTTCGAATGCTGCAGGTCCAAATCACTCTCATTGATTGAAGTCTTACTGTCAATCATTACATTCATCGTCGGCCCTTCATCATCAAAAATCCATCATATTCTTATCGAGCTCACATCTTCTCATCTGCTTGACAGAGAATATGAACTCTTTACCCTTTGCCATTACTAGCCGTCCCATGTCTGCTGAAGGGCATACTCTCTTTCCAATTTGCGCCCTTCAATTGAAGTGAAAGTGGTCTTTATATATCCTCAAGTCAGCTTCTCCACAGATCAAACTTATTGATAAAAACTCTTGTAGCGAAGACAAAATGTATAGACAGGGCGAGTTCCCAATTTTGGGCTTTTCCACAGCAGCTGGAAAATATAAGTATATAAAAGGATCTTCCAATTCCTCCTGTCTAAACTTTCTCAACTTCAATCAATTTACACCATCCATCCTTCCATCTTTATGTAAAATGTAAGATGGCCGTCGTAAATGCAAGTCATAGCATCCTACACAATGTGTGAAATTGAGTGGGCAGCATCATCCTGTTGAATTTCCACTTCAATGCCAACTACTGTCATCTCTCGGCAAAGTTTTGGCTGCCATTCCTAACGAATATAATCGTAAATAATGACAAAGATGATGAATTATATCTGCTTCTCTATCCTCCGTTGTCTTACCTTCTTGGTACCTCCAGAACTCCAATTTGATTTCAAAAACTCGTGCTGGTATGTACCGGCTCTTTTAGTTTATGTTAATCATTATCTCCCTCCTTTCCAACTAACTGCTATTTAGACAGGTTGAATTTTCATCTCAGGTCTTCAAGAATTGCCGCTCATCACCAAGATCCTTTCTTTCCAATTCTAAAAATGGAATCACTCATATCACTTTTACCCTCCCATCTGCTGACATGAATTTGTCTAATTCCGTCCTTACCGCTAGTTTACAGTGCAGTCGCTGTGCCCTGGATCCCATGCTCAAGTGCAAACAACACATTCCCAAACCTCAATCCATGACGAAACATCTAGAAGCTTGAGGTATCTCTATGCCGACGAAGTCCTACTGAAAATTGCGATTACACCTAGAGTGAAAAGACAACCTTTGGGATAAATCGATGATTGACCAAAAGCAAATCAACATATAAAGTTAAAAAAAAAATCAATAAAACTTCAGGCTAGCAACACTAAGCAATGAAAACACCCCAAAAAAGAGCACACAGACAAAATTGAAATAACAGAAGATTGTTAGGGAGAGTCAGACTTTTTGCATACATCGCCTAGAAACTTCAAAAGAGATGCCGATGTAGAATGCTGGTGAGATTATAAACCCACAATTCAAGCATGTTGTATAATATTGCGTCGGAACTCCCAATCTGCTTTGCTTGTTACAACTAGTATAAAACGACCAGCTTGCCTATGATTGGGACAAAGGGACTTTTGCAGACAGGAACGAGATACAAAAACTCGATTAGCTCAAGTGCTATTATATCCTCATAGTCCCAACGAATGATTTTTTCAAAAGGCATTACTGATTCTGAATCCTAAGTTCTTGATGCAATATTTTTTAAGAAAATTGATGATGTTTATAATGGGCACGGAAATCTTCTCCTTGAGTTTGATGTTAATCGTCCAAATGGATCATCACTCGCTAGATCCATATGTGGTTCGAAAATCTGACAGGATGCCTCACTATCTCTACTTCCCATACCATTGGAGTAAAATTTATCTCTGCACTTAAAGATACCCAAAACCAGCTAGGAGTAATAAATGCTTGTGTTTAGATGTGGACTGTAGTAAATGTAAGAAAAACGCGCACATGCAGCGGTATCCAAAGAATATCAGATGGTAAGTGGTTTTCCCATATTTTGGCCAAATATTATTTGCCCCCGTACTTCGATCGCAACAAGCCTATCCGTTTCATGCATCAAACTACTATTCATACACATTCCCACAATTCCCTCCCAAATATCCCCAGCTCTCAGAAATCCATCTCGTTAGCCGCTATTAATATCATCAGAAAGTATCAAGAGCTAGCTTTTCAAATGGCAATCTAATGCTCTTCGTGGAACACCCTTGAGAACGTCACAGAAGCAGCATGCTGTTGGCAGATCCAAGCTCTTGAGGATAAAGTACCATTGTCTACCTCCTTTTTTCAGAAATCTTTGTTAAGTATACAAGCGAATCGGCCATTGTTATCGCCAGTTATTCAAAACCAGCTTTGCTGCACCTATAATGGCTCTCTGTAACGGAAAATCCCTCCACTACTATTTCTTGCAGCTGTGACGCAGATATCGCAGTAATTATTCGAGTAGACATCACACATATTAGCAAACTCCACTAAGCCATCATCTTTAGAATCTTGGATTATAAATAACGGATCGATCCAAATATATTGTCCTGCTAATTGTCGAACATTGTGCAATA